CCCCCCCCCCCCCCCCCCATGTGAGGTTTGTGCGCCATTGTCTCCACGTTGATATTTCTTGATAAGAATGGACACCTAATATGCGCCCCTCGGATCCCAGCGTAAGGTTAATACTTTTTGGGATCCATTTCGCATTGGGTTCGGCAGCGGTGGTGGCAACGACTACGAACACAAAATATTACTGTCACAGGAAAAGCACCTTTCGAACGGCAGTATTTTCCATCGATACCGTTTTCCATTGGCGGCATGCGAGAGGCTGTGAGCGACCTGAGAGGTATAAAGACCTCCGCCCTATCGTATTGCAATGGGTCTGCTTCCCGTACCTACCAGCCTACACTCAGCGTGACGCGTGATGATTCAACACTACGAAGTGTTTCACACACGTTCAATACACGCACGGATCGTTTATTCGCACTCCTTGTTGTCTTGCAGACACTTTCGATACATTTATTTGATTCAACACACGAGTTAATGATGTTGCCTGCATTCTTTCTGCCGTGCCACCTTGCATGACGTGTTTTTCTCTGCCTTTCAGGCGCAACAGAGGAGGGCCGAGCGGGCGATGGGACCCCTAGGTAGACGGCGGTTCGGGGAAAGAAAAGAGTGGCCTCAAAACCTTGTAGTGACGTGTGATTTTGACTGGTGTACAGGATCAGAATATTTGTGGGCTGCTCTTGGTTTCGACTTCTGTTCTTTTCACAGTAACTTGTTTTTCTTTCCGCCCTGGACGCATAGCTCGCTGTCCTGTCAATCATCACGTTATTCACGAATGGAACCGATTGTTCCCGCACGTGGTGAGGATGGCCCGCAACCTGCTGGCTTGTAGGAGCTTTTGGGTGCCAAATGGAGGCAGGCGTTGAATGAAAAGGATAGGGTATGAGCCCGCCGACCGCCCTCAAACAATGACGTTCTCCCTGTGCCTGCACCTGTGTTGCGTTCCACGTTCCAAACAAGTCCTCCTTGCATGTCGCACACTCACGTACCCCGGCACACCCCTCCCCCGCCGCCCTCCCGCAAACGCTCCATCGTTCGCACGCCTGAACCCGAGTGTTGCGCTGGTTTATCTGGGTGTTGATACCCCTACCACACGCAGTCGCAACGTGCCCATCCGCCCCGAGTATGTATTCGCGTCTAGCACCAAACTCTGCTGGAACCTCCTCCTGGTTTTCCAATGACAAAACTATCCCCGTTTAGTCTAAAAACTCCTCAACTAACTTTTCCCGCTCTATTTCTTCACTACGGCCATCTCGTTGCATCCCTTGAACTCCCGTCGGGACTACTGCCCACAGCTGCGACGCCCCCGTCCCCCGCAGAAACCTCCCCGCCGCTCCCCGAGTTCTCTCCGTCTCTAGCACTGTCTCCACCACTTCTGCCGCTCCCCACGCTACTTCTCGACGCTACGGACCCCACCACCCCTCCCCCGTCCGGGAGGCCGGCGAGGGCAGCCTCGTCCTTTAACCGCCCCTCACTCGCTGACCTCTCTGCCGAGGACATTCGTCTCCAAGAGATCTTGGTAAAGAGGCTTCGCGCAGAGGACGCCACCACCTTTTTGTTTGCATTTGGGTGGGGGAGAGGCGGGGGTCGTTGTTTTGCGATGTCGTCTTCGGCACGACCCTAGACACGAGCCGCTGTTGCATTTGTTTGGGGTGGGCGCGAAGGTGGAGAAACTCTTGTTCCAGCGTATCCCAATCCAAATCATCCAGCTCGGCACGGTCTCCGTGAATGAAACGTCCAAACCGATGAGCTCTTGGAGGCAAGTAGGTTCAACCCTCAACACGTGTGACCGACATGCACAAGACATTGATTTGATTGAAGATTATCCAATTTGAACGGTCTTCACAACATAGATGATTGCAGGCAAGGGCACAAGCAAGAGATGATTTACTCTTCTTTTAAGGGATGGCCCCACAACAAAAACGTTGTCAGCAGAAGTGGGGTCACGATACCCATGCCACACCCATCAACCGGCATCATTTCACCCGTGCCCGCGCGAACAGCCCCGGGCAACCCGCTGGATAAAGATGCCGGCCTTTTCGTGGTATCATATCTCGCCTGGGGGGGGTGGGGGGTGGGGCTCAGCGGAATGCCCGACGTATAACTGACCACTTCCACCTCTGCACGAGGAGGTCAAACGAACGAGGTATCATCAAACCGATTACTTCCTGACAAAGAACAAGACGCAGCTCACCCGTACAACCACCAATTCTCCGAGCTCCATGCTCAGCCCAGCTTCCATGTAAGGAAGCGTGATGCCAAGGCCAAGGAGAAGGAGATTGTACATAACCTTGCCCCCCTTTTCTCGTGCATCCCGGTAGGATACCACATAGGCCTCCATGTCACTGCCAGAAGAACGACGCGCACGCACGCACACGGGGTATTTTTCGGCAAGCGCGGCAAAGAAAAGGGCAAAGAACTGCGCAGCAGTTCAGGGCAAAGAACTGCGCAGCAGTCGGGGACACCAAAGTGAAGTGAAGACCACCGCGTAGCATGGGATGTACTTCTATCGCCCTAGCAGCAGCTAGACAACGTGCGAGACGGCTTGTCTACGTTTCGCGGCGATGTTCAGTCAGTCCATGCTACCTCTTGAACTTCCTATACTCAAAAACAATTCCCCATCGTGTTTGATCCCGACGCTCATCGGCAGAAACGAACGACGATGGCAACGGCAAACCTCGCCAGCTACGTAGAACAGGTTTTGGTGATCCGCAGACTGCCGTAGATGGAGTGAGAAAAACGCTGCACTCCTTGAAGAGTTGCGTGGGTGTGTCTTCCTCTTCCATGCCCGTAAATTTAGCAACAGCTTTTGAAGCCACAATACTGCCCTAGAGTGTGTGTTCTTCTCCAATGAGCAAAGCTCCCGCGCGCGGCCACTCAAGCGAGAGATTTCTCTCCGCGAGACCCCCTACCGTCCACCCGCGTAATCAATCGCCCTCGTTTGATTAGGGAGGACTGCTGTGCCGTGTAACACGTCTACAACACGTTTGACGTGAGGTTAGCCTTACCTTCCCACAAGCTTCGAAAGGTACTCCGTAACCCAGTACTTGTTAGTCTTGCGCATCACCTTTTGCCATGAAAAGCGCGCGAGAACGATGCACGCAATGAACCAGGCATCGGAGACGGGAGCCCAAAACAACGAGGGCGCAGGAGGGGGGCGGGGCACCGATTGGGCGAAAACACATGGGGCGTCAACAGTACACGATTGTGGCGGGAGAAAGCGCTTGTCGCCAAGCATGGACCGGATGTCGTCACTATCAAGGGGGCAAGCAAGGCCCTTCTCCCATGCCACTTCTAGCCCCCTCACCCCCTTGCAGCCGCTGCCGTGCACTCGTCGCATCTCTATCCTCTATTTTTGTTCGTTCCTCGACAGGTCTAGTGATTAAGGTAACGACAAGTAGTCGTTCCCAACCAAGATACATCATCCATGGCCTAAAAGTCATGACCAGAAAGGAAATGTGTACACGAGTACCTCCCCCTATTCCTCCAATAACTTGAAATTTGGGGTGCCTCTACTTGACGAATGGACGGTGCTCCGTCTCGAATAGTATTTCTACAAGATAGAGTATGTAAGAGAAAGCACGGACTGTTTGAGAGAATAAAAATCTTGTCGCGACCATGAGAAATACAAACTCCGGAGTATTCCACACAAACGGTCTGAGGCGCCACCGGACTTCTTTGACTGTAGCTTCGGCTTGTGACACCCCTCTCTTCTTCCCCTACCAGTACCCCCCTCCCGCCGACCCGTGCACCCACGTCTTACCATATTAGCAGTTTGCACGGCTCCATCGCCGGCCTCGACTTCGGCCATCACCAACGACCCGTCGAGGGTAGGTTGCCCCAGGAGCCACCGCTTCACCTGGTAGTGTGCGAGCAGGTCCAAGTATCTGAAGCGTTTGGGGGTTGGGCGGCGACCCCGGAGAGCCCCAGCGACAAAACAGAAAGCAAGAGAAGGGAAAGGCGAAGGGGGAAAAGGGGGAAGGGAAACGACATGTGCGAACATCGGATACAGAAACACGCCGGGAAAGAGAACAGTCAGGCATACGGATACATGGGAGACACACACGCATGACCGTCAGTCTCGACAACGAGCGGGAGGAACGAAAGGTATGACGGCGTGGTTCAATCACCGTTAAGGTTGTCCAAGATCACCGTCATTATCGGGTCAGGGAGGACATCAAACCCAGCATCCTCATCATCCCTGTGGTTGTCAAAACCGCCTTCTTTCTATGAAGTTCTCCTGACGCCCCAAACAACCTTATACCGCGCTCGCTGGTCCGGAGGAAGTTGCGCACCCTTCTCGGTGAGGACTCGCACAAACATTATCTGGAACGAGCCCGAAAATAACGCTGGAGCACTCCCTCATGGATCATCTGTCACCATCGTTCCGAACCAGTTCCACTGCACCACCTCTTGCATTGCCCTTCGCCCCTACTCGATTAGGACAAGAATTCGACGACGGTCGTCCAGGCCACACGCGTCCGAACTGGCGAAGCCAGCTCCGATCTTCGTCTTCTACGCAGATGCCACAGCTATGAAACGTACCCGGGGCGTTGTGCAGCTTCGTTTTTCTTCCACTCACTATTCTGTCTCTTGTTTGTGTTCCATTGTACGATATGATGTTCTGCAGGACATGTCGGAACGCTTACTTACTGAACACGGGGTTCGAGAAGACGGACCGGGCCGACAGCCGGGGGGG